ACTAGTGAGCAGCACACTTACACTTCCAGTGAACATTTTCACTTGGAAGAAGGAGAAACCATGCTCGCCCGGGGCAACGAAACTTTTCGTGCCCCGGGCGAGCATGGTTTCTCCTTCTTCCAAGTGAAAATGTTCACTGGAAGTGTAAGTGTGCTGCTCACTAGTATATCATTAAAAAAAATAAAAAATTAAAATTAAAAAATAAAAATAAAAACTACATAGGGGCTGTTTTGGTGAATGGAGTATGGCATCATTATGATGGGCTTTGGGAGAGGAATTCCAGAGGGCAGGGACTGAAAAAATGCACAGGGAAGCCGTCCACTCCAAGTGGCTTCCTCATCTCTCACTTTGTGTACATTTTCGAAAAGATTTTGCATTAAAGTGGCCTGTATTCTTTGATCTGTTGTGAGTGTAGAATAATTTATAAAGCACAAAAACATAGATAATGAATCAAGATTTCACTGTTCAAAAAAAAGCAATATTTGTCTGAAAAAAAAATTCGTGCGGAGGGGTTCACCTGAAAAAAAAATTCCTGCACAAGCAGTGAGCGAAAAAAGAAATTTGTCCAAGCTGAAAATTCCCCACCCCCCTATCACATTTCTAATGGTCCTTCCCTTAGAGGCTTCGAAAAGCTTTCATTGGCAGCATTTTTAGATTAATGTCCTGGCCGTGTTCTGAAGGGCTTATTAATAGTTGGTGTTGTAGCATCTAAAGAAATTTATCTGTCCAGGAGATAAGATTAATTCATCCTGGTTTTCCATAGCATAAAAACAAGAGAACTACTTCAATAAAAGACTGCAAAACAGACGATTTTTTTCTCAAAATCGGTTTTTCACGGCGCGAGATTTTCGCGCGAGGCGTGCGAGCCTCTTGGAAAATAAAGTCGAGTCATATAAACAGAAGAAATAGGAGTTGCATTGTTCAAACCCTTGAGACAGAAACCTAGACTCGTCCAATTCATCACTATAACTGAACAACTGCCTTTTTAAAAGTAGCAGTCAGTCACTGGAGAAAAGAATAGCTTTACATCATGACACAAAACATCTGAAAGACAGTTGAAGTATTGAATATTCATCAGCAATCAGCCTGTACTTTCTGAAGCTTCTCAAACATGCGTGAACCATTTGAATTATATTTGAATTATAACCATTAGTTATTAAACCCCGGAGTACCGAAAGCGTGGTGCACCCGCCTTAATTGTGACCAATTGACATAAATACATAACGAAAGATTGTTGTTTATGTTTGCGTCGTAATGCTGCTATTTTCAAATGCTGTTATGTCTATATAGTCACACTGCTAACATAATGACAAAGAAGACCTTCATATTGATGTATTGACTAGTGTGGATCCGGGTAAACTTAAGCAGGTTTCGAACGATAAAAAAAACTGCATACCGGTTACCTAGCTCAATTGGATAAGCCCCGGTCTGTCGAGCGGTATATTTAGGCCGCTGATTCACGGTCCGGAAAGACCAACACTCGGGGTCTCTATACGCTGGTAGGTACTTCATGTATGGGGACATGTATTGTACCGCTTTTACCTACTTAACTTATACTTTCACTCTTTCTGCTTGGTTCCTTGTTGCCTCGAAGCTTTGTTCTCTGTTAACTTGTTGCTCTGTTTCCTTGTTTCCTAGTTACTATGTTTCCTTGTTACCTTGTTTCCTTGTTACCTTGTTACTCTGTTACCTTGTTACCTTGTTACCTTGTTACCTTGTTACTCTGTTACTCTGTTACTCTGTTACCTTGTTACCCTGTTACCTTGTTACCTTGTTACCCTGTTACCTTGTTACTCTGTTACCTTGTTACCTTGTTACTTTGTTACCTTGTTACCTTGTTAACTTGTTACTCTGTTACCTTGTTACCCTGTTACCTTGTTACCCTGTTACCTTGTTACTCTGTTACCTTGTTACCTTGTTACCTACGCTACGTCCACAAATACCGCGGGCGCATCGAGACACCTAAGGCTGGGGATTGAGCTTAGATTCTCGCTTGATTAATTAATTAATCAAACTTTTTTTTCTTATTGTCCTGATGTAAGGCTGCCAGAAGAATGGGGACGAGTCAAATTGCATTTGCCAATTGCAACTTTGCCTTCCCGGCGCAAATCCCTTTCAGCTTCGCCCAGGAACCTTACGATCTGAGAACAGAGACGCCAGCAGACTGACGTTACTGAAAAAATGACTTTTTCGTGTCCGTCATAGTAGCCTGCGAAAACAGCCATCTCTCCTCTCGAAACGTCCCTAGTACTAGGAGCGAGGAGAGATGGCTGTTTTCGCCCGCCACTGTCAAAGTTTCGTAAAGTTCCTACGTGAGCTACGCGCGGCAAATCGGACGCCAGAAAATCACTAACCCGCAGTGATCCTGCTTGCCTCTTGGGTCTGTTATTAATGAAACAAACAAAAAATCAAAAGTAATTTAGGCAGTGGATCAAACCATCCTAAGCCATTTTGCCAAGATATTTATGTGTCGACCGCCGAAGGCGTCTAGCGGTAGCCTCAGCCACAAGTTGCTCCAAAATCTCTAAAACTTTACTCCACAATTCTTCAAACGTTGCCCTGAGTTGATTGAAACTTCTAAAAAGTTGCTCTTTAATACAGCCATTTTTGCCTTTTTTTACTCGAAAGGTGACGCTGATGAAGTACAAAAATGCATTTTCAAACTACCGACTCGACCAATATTTGGGTATAGATGGGCCACCTAGGGTTTGAAATCATGGCCATCTTTAGAACAACACCCTCAGTTTTAGTACCCTGTTTAGGGCAATTGAAGTTAGCAGTAAAAATACAGCTTGTAACAGGGCTCTCCTTGTAAGCCCAATAGCAGCGGTTTGATAGGAGCTCCTGCTACTTACTATAAGTGTTAATTATATTACTGTAAATTAGTGACAACATGGGGCAAATAAACATTGATTCATGCAATCGAGAAAAATCAAGTTATAATCATTGCTTTTCTCATGTTTCTCGAGGGAACAAACAAATTACGCCTGGCGAATCAAATCAGTCTCGCAGGCCATACTCTGTTTAGAATTCGGATAAACTCGCACGAAATTATATACCCTGTTTAGGACAGACTCGTAAGAAATTTTGTGCCCTGTTTAGGACAGAGAGGTCAAAAACCATACCATCCCCGTAAAGGCCATCCCTGGGCCCAAGACCCCAACTTTTCAGAACGAGTGGAACCTGGGAACAACACAGATCGAAATGGCGGACAGTACGGAAGTCATTGCATTTTATTGCATCGTCTAGGAAAATGCCATAATTTAAGGGACCTGTTTTTTTATGTTGCTTAAATTAAGCCGCAAACTGTGCTCGCTATCGTCAAGAATGTCACGGATCTTCGCAATTTCGGACATTCATGTCGACATACCGGAAAACCTTCACTTTGTTGAGAGTTGGTCCGCAAGTGATTACCAACAAGATGTACTTATTGTGGCTGGCGATGTAACCGACAACATGACACTGTTAAAAAGTGTTCTTCAATCTCTCACAGAGAAGTTCTCCAAGGTGTGCTTCGTACCAGGTACATAGATCAGGACAGAGCTATTTTGAAATATAGGTTATTTTCAAGAGGAGCTTCCGCTCCCTAGAAAGGCTTAATGGGCCGGGATCAGATGCTCGTTTTCTCGCTTTACTGAGTTGTAGCAAATTTAGGCTCGTTTCAAACGTCGTGCTACTGCCTTGCCGAACTCAATTGATCGAATTAAATTCGACTTAAGCAAGCCAGTAGCGCGACGTCTGAAACCAAATCGTGCTACTGCCGTGTATCACGGCAAGCCCTGCCGTTCTACACGGAAGTAGCTCGACTTGGTTTCAAACGTCGTGCTACCACCGTGCCGAACTCAATTCATCAATTATAAATACATTAGAATATATTTAAAAGTTTGCTAAACCGTTTCTTTATTTTTGTGTTTTGTTTTTGGCAACAGCCATTGTATTCGACTGTCATTGTGTGAATTAAATTCGACGTCTGAAACCAAGTCGTGCTAGTGTCGTGCTGCAGTCGAGTTACAGTCGAGCCAGCTTAGCACGGCAGTATCACGACGTTTGAAACAGGCCTTATATGTGATATTCTAGAGAAGATTAGAGAACACTTACTGTCATCAGATTCACAACATCATTAGAAATTCTAGAAAGTCTAAGAAGTTCCGCATGATGTATCTAAGTGTCAAGGTTATATTTGCAACATCTAAATAATTAATTTTGAGTCTTTTGGACTGTGTGATCAAAAGAGATTATTATCAATAGCACAAAATCACACATTTGCATAATTTTAGGGCTGGAGCATTCTACCCTTAGTTGCAGAGATGCTAACCTCTCGAGTTTTAAAAACTGGACTCTCCCTTTTGCATCACCCCCTCCCCCCTGCAATGTCAATTTAGTACATTATATCAAATTTTACATGAATTACCTCCCCTCAAAACTCACTTCAACTCTAAATAAAAGCAGATTTTCTAATCCAGGAGTTTTGGTGACCTGTACGGGAGAGCGGGGGGTTGGTGCTGTACCTGTGGGACTCCTGGACAATCCAGGAGTGTTGGCACATATGTAGGTGTAAGAAACACTATTGCCATCCATAATTTTTTCCTTCCTTGTATAGTTGTACCGAGTTAACATCAAACTTCAACTAATGAGCCTTACATCTCAAACTGCATCCCAGCTTACAAAAAACGTCCCCAAAATGACCATTGAAATGGAATGATGTACAAACTGATTTACTCACTTTGTTTTGTGACCTTTTTGTTCTAAACATTTTGTTGTGTGTTGTTGTATGATTTTGATTGTGTTATTGATTAACAGACTATCTAAACCATTTTAAAAAGCGAAATTTGTTCTTACCTTCCCCCCTCCCCATAATGGCCGCTTGTCTACAGTGGCCATTTGTCTCTATCCCAAAGATGATTGTTGTAGAGAACTTCAGCTGTATAATATATAGATTTAGCCAGAGCTAAAAGTTGATACATTCTAAATTTGTTTCAGACAATGGATTTTAAACCATTGCAAAGAAATCTACACATCTATAGTTAACTTTAGGGGAGAACCATATAACTGAAAAACATAAACTGGAACCTGCGATCAGCTAAAAGCTAACAACTGGTGAGGGGAAACTTAAAAAAAGCATGTGACGTCGATGAGTTGGCCCCTGAGCTTGCGATACGGTCATGTGACACTGGTCAGCGAATACTCTGTTTTGACCCTAATGTGGATGTCTATTATCAATTTAAACACAGGTTACTGGCTCCCACCCTAGCTATAAAGTTTGACATTTCACATTGGTTTCCCTGTGGTGCGGGCGGACAGACAGTCACGTGATTACCAAAATTTCTCGGATGGTTGCACCATTAGCGAACTTAAGCAGCTACGTTTTTGAGCCATGGACGTCAACCGGAAATGGACAGTTTGCAATCTTGAGCCGTCATTTTGAACAATTTTTTTTGGTCAAATCGTCTCTATAAGAGTAAAGAAACTTAGCAATACAAATTTGGCAGGGTTTTGGCATATTAAAAGAGAAAAAGGCTCACTTCCGGTTGACGTGCATCTCTCAAAAACGTCACACGTCACTGTTTAAACTCGCTATTAATTCAATCAAAACAAAAAACAGTTTTCAATTAAGTCTTACATAACACATAAACAATTAGTCTCACATAAAACTAAAGGGTTTTTTTGCTGACAAGTGAGTATTGTCATTATTCACTGGCATTGTTTTCAGGTTTCATTTGCACGTGCACAACTTTAGCAAAAGACTAATTTGCATTCACGAGATACCTCAATTACTTTCCGGTCATGTTGAGGGGTCTCCGTAACAATGATAACAAGGTGAATAAGAACATCTATTGCAGAAAGGAAACATAAAAGCGAATAAACTATTGCATAGCGATTTATTTCTGCGTCCCTCATGATGAAGAAGTGACGTTACAGCCATTGTCTTCACCATTTCTGCTACATCAGCATATTTCGGAGATTTCTTCGGAAAGTAATCGAGGGTCCTTTTGAATGCAATTTAAAGTTTGCGTGTGTTTATGAAACTTGAAATCAATGCCAGTGAATAATGAGGACACTCACTTGTAAACACAAAATCTGGTGGAAAAATTTGTGGCATTTGAAGCCCCAATTTGCCTTCCTTGTTTTCAATGTCCTTGAATCTTGGAGGAGATGTAAATTGATGATTAATCAATTAATTGTGGGTTAAAATAAAACAGTCAGGGGAAAAGGGAGTGGTTTTTCCCTTCCTTTCTTTTTTCGCCCTTAAATTCACCTAACGTCGTTCCCAGGGTAGGAGAGAGAACCTGGGAACAAGATTGAAATTCCCCCTCTTCTTTACCGCCTTCCTTGAGGCTAAGCAGGCCAAAACTCAAGATCTAAAATTGAATGAAAGAAGGTACCGCCTTGTAGACGGCTATATCTTTACGCTGTCGGATTCATGACCTCGTGGAACTACAGTTACGCGAGTTTTCAGGGGATTGTAATATTATCATATTTTGTCCACTTGTGTTCATGTAGTTCTTTATCCGCCTTTTTGTTTTCAATTCTATTTCAGGAAATCACGACCTATGGATTCGAAAGACATCTGATGCCTACGGCCAGGAAAATTCTATTTCCAAATTTCACGCTGTCGTAGCACTTTGTGACGCAATTGGCGTTTACATAAGACCAGTGAAGGTCCAATGCTGCAACAATACCTCCGCCTGGGTTGTGCCAATATATTCCTGGTATGCTCAGCCTGAAGATGACCCTAACAACTCTTTATATATTGCTAGAGACTCCGAAGATGTGGAGTTTTCCAAAAGGGTTTGGATGGATAATCATATGTGTAAATGGCCTTCGCTTCAGAGAAGTGTCTCTCAACATTTCGCGGAACTTAGCGAAAAATTTGTGAATAGGAGCTACGATGCACCAGTGATATCTTTCAGCCATTTTCTTCCCCGTTTGGAGCTAATCCCAGCCTCGGACGAGGAAATCAAGCATGTAGAAGAGGAGAGAAAGCGTTTAAAACTTCCTGTGTTAGACAACCCCAGGGCTCAGGGAGCGCAGATTCAATTTAATTTCACGCGTTTTGCAGGCTCTAAAAGAATAGAAGAGCAAATTCGAAGGTTAGGACCTAAAGTTCATGTTCATGGTCACCAACACCGTAATAGGGACCGGGCCATAGATGGGGTGCGTTATGTATCCTTTTGCCTGGGCTACCCGCGAGAAAGGTCCATTGGAGTTATATGGGGCCTCTCAGAAGGTAATGGTCCAAGACAAATATGGCCGACGGAGTAGGACCCTGTAAATCTTAACAAAACTGCCTGGACGGCATGTCCTTGTGCACGGGATATTTTTGTGTTGGTATAATTTCAAAATTTCTTTACAGTAATAGATCTTATTCACGAACCGCCATATTTCACACGCTTTAGAGTTGATGGGATAAAAACAATATCACGTGGTATTTCAGGGGGCTAACAAGTGATAAAATTTGCCAATACGAGTAACAACGGTCGAGAGTTTGTTGATTCTCTCGAAACGACACGACTACCTTAGTCATGCAAAATGAACACTTCGAGTTGCGATACGTTTTACGTCATTATTTATTGCTGTGAGAACTTCTATGGTTGCTACTGCATCCAAGCAATCATCACTTCCACCCATAATTTGGCGTTATCGTCTTTAAGATAAAAAGTTCTTTGACCACGATTTCTTGTATAGGCAGATTTTTTTTTTCGCTTTTTTGTCCCCTGGGAATCCACGTGACAACGCTTTTAGTCTTAAAGCGCGTGGAAAAGGTGGCAGGTATCGTGAATAAAGTCTATTGTATAAATAGTAGTGTATAAGATTGAAACAAATGGGAAAATTTCGGTGGGACTAATGATCCTCTTTATGAAAGTGGAATATGAATTGAGAATTGGTTTTAGTTGTTTAATTAAGCAGTTTCTTTGCAAGGGGGTTGCGGAAGTGGAAGAGGGATCTCGCTTTCTGTGCTTATCACAGGCTAACCAAGAATTCAGTCCTAAGTCAGTTTACTGGTAAGACGAAATATGAATTTACTCATACATACAAGTAATATTTTAATATAACCATTTGGGTACGCATAGACCAAATCTCCTTACCCTTTATTACGCCCAAATTTGTTCTGCTCCCCAAATTTCTGCTCAGTTTAATATCCAGCCCATAATACTACTCATCTTCTTTTGAAAACGAATGGTAAGAAGATGAGTTAAGCTACGTACAACTCCCAACATTGTTGCGTTTGACCTGTTTCAAACTTTGCGCAACAACTCCCAACAACACCCAACAGGTCTGGTTAGTTCAGTCGGGAGAGCGCCCGTCTGCCGAACGGGAGGTCGCAGGTTCAAACCCCGACCGGACCAACACTCAGGGTCTTTAAATAACCGGGAAGAAAGTGCTGCCTTTGTAATGACATCTGCAAATGGTTAGACTTTGTAGTCTTCTCGGATAAGGACGAAAAACCGTAGGTCCCGTCTCACAGAACTTTCACTGATTTGTTCTTGTGGGACGTAAAAGAACCCACATCACTATTCGAAAAGAGTAGGGGTTGTAAACCCCGGTGGTGTGGCCAACCTTTACGGGTTGTGGGATTGGGTAGGGATGGCACCTCTCATGGGACCTTAGTCCCGTTCGTCCACATTCCCTCTGGGCAGGCCTGTGTCCAGAAAAGCTGGTAAATAAATAAATAAATAAGTCAAGCAGACGCAACATGTAACATCCAACAAAGTTGGGAGTTGTTGGCTAACAATCTTGCGTCCATTTGCACGGAGCTTAAGCGACGTCAACAACAACGGCAAAAAAGCAGTAGGTTTAGATTGGCAAAACAACAACTTTGCACGTGTATCACGTTTTTTATTTGTACATTTCTTTGCCGTCGTTCCACGACTACGACTTGAAAGTTCCTAATTTCACTTTTTATCGAGAACGTGAACACAAGACAATAACTTTCTTTTTCTTTTCCTCAACTTCGATACAAACTTTTAAAATTCAACACCAGAAAAAATCGCCAACATTTGACGAATTGAACCAAATGAAATGAACGCGATAAAGTTTGATCCAGCGCGACTGAACTTTTTAAGTGACGTTTTCGTAGCCGTTGCCGTCGCCGTCGCCGTCGTTGTTGCTTAAAGTTCCTATGAGTTTATAATTCTAAAAATTACGGATTTTTTCAATTCCTTCCTCCTATACCGGTTTGTCAGAAAAGTGATGATACACACACTAAAGAAAAAAAGTAAAGAGAAATGACAAGGTCTGAAACCCTCCTCTATTTTAACGTGAGATTGTCATCAAGGTCGATTGCCCACCTTCATAGGCTGTCAATTTGTTTTTTCAATGTTGATTGAAGTCTAGAAAAGGTTCAAATAGGCCATTTGCACGATGGCGTCATTTTACTTCTATCACCAGAATCCTTTTCGTTTTTCCTTTCATATTTTTATTTGGTAATTCCAGTGAGGTTTCTATAACAAAAACCCTAATTGGCACAAGAAAGCAAAGTCCTGAAGGATTCTGGTCGTAGTAGTAAAATGACGTCATCATGCAAATGGCCTTTTGCCCGTAAGGACATGGGTGAGCTAGGAAAATATCGCGAGGGGGTGTGGAGCAGAGAAAATGCCGTCTGGGGTAAACAGAAAAGAAATGTATAGGCTTGTAAACATTGTGTACTATTTACTCGAAACACAGAGTACATCTATACCGTATTTCCTAGAACGAATAAGTGCTCGGGCGCTTATTTAAAATTTCGGCTTAAAGGATGGGCGTTTATTGGAAGGAGGGCGCTTAATCCAGGGGGGCGCTTATTGAGTTCTCCTGTGGGTAATCAAGCGCACCTTAGTCCCATTCTACAGTTTACACACAGAGTTATCACTAAAGTGGCAATAGAAACAGGTTTTCCGTGTATCCCTACTAGGGATACACGGGATTTTGGCCTAGGGGGTGGGCGCTTATTCCAGGAATTACGGTATTTAATTTGCTGTGGACAATCTGCAAATGTAAATTCGTCACAATGGAGAACTAACCAATGAGGGTGAACATAAGTAGCGCACTAAGCCAACCAAAGCCCGAAGCCGAATATGTAAAAGATATCAAGCGTTCGACAACGCTTCCGGGTCAAGTCACGTGTTTCTAAAAAAGCAGGATATCTGCTTTAATTTGTTGCAGTTTTGAGTTTCTTTCATCATTATGTTATTCAGTATTATTACGTTTAGGCCTCAGAGACTGAAAATCATTCAACGAAATAGAATAGTAACTTAACTTTTATTCTGCAAGGCCTGTCTGCAAATGAATAAAAACTGATCTTTTAGTGGTTACATGTATGTACACAACCTATATATATCTTACAGTAAATGATATAAAAGAATAACACTCCTTTGTGAGACTGAAGTGAAATTATTGAAATGCGATCCCCGACGGAAAAGAAAAAGGCATTGATTGTTAAAGTCCTTCACGTAATTCCTCTGCTGTAATGCGGTCAAAATCGATAAATAACTAAAAATACTTTAGACTTTGCTCTATGCAGGTAAAAATAAAATCTGACAGTGTATTTTCAAACTTCTCATCGATTTCGTTGTTTCTTAAGGGATAACGTTTCATATGTACATTTTCTAACAGTTCTGTTTTAAGTGTCATATCACCGACAGAAAAAAAGCTTTGACAATGATGTGCTTTTGCTTGGCTTCATGGTGTTAGCGGGTCTTTGTTGAGATCCGGTCTGTTTTCCAACGCTTGTCTCTTCCACTTGGTTCGCCTGTTCTGAAACCAGACTTTTACTTGTGTCTCGCTTAGCTTGAGATAGGAGGCTAACTGTTTTCGCTCAGATCCCACAACATAATGATTCTTTTCGAACGAAGTTTCAAGGCAAAGGAGCTGGAACGGAGTAAACGCTGTGCGAACGCGGCGTGATCTTCGAGCGGCTGATTTTTGCCCTGTTTGTTGGGCTGGAGTGCTTTGGCTTTCTGCTGGAAAGTGGTAAAAGAATCGATGTTACATTTTAGAGTTCTTCTCTAGACAAAAACTTATTTCTTTGTCCTGTTTTAAATCAACAAATTCTTAACCCTTCAGTTCCCTCAAATTTCATTTTTTTTTTGTCCCAAAAAAGTTAACACCTCGCGAAATTCACTATACTGTGGTGCGTTCGTTTCAATGATTATATCTCTGAAAGGATTTACAACTCAGACAGTTAAACACCTTCATATGTCTCCAGCTAGATTTGCCTTGGTGGTCAACCTTCTATAATATATAATCATGATAAGACTACAGTTCTTGTTATGGCAGATTTCTCAGTGAAGTTCAGTAACTTTTGTTAAGTATAGTTCGACCTTTGCTCAGATTTCTTTATTCGAGTAAAATTTCGCGTTTTTTCAAGGAGCATTTTTGATTTCGTTTTGGCATTTTTGTAATCGTTCATGTTAAGGAACGGACCGACCAAAAGGTATTTTTTTGAATCCACTTTTGTACCGGAATTTTCGAAAAGAAAGTTTTGCTGATTCTGCTAGGTTTTGTTTTACAAGGTGGGGCTTAGTTCGAGTCCGTTACGATAAATCTGCAGTACTTTTATTGAGAAATGTGAGGTTATTCATTGTGACCAGAAGAGAACTAAGGCGCAGAAGGCCGAGGGACAACTATTTCACCATTTCGTAATGACTTCAAAATTGTTAAGAAAATGTTTCATTGGCAACTTACTTCTTTCAGGGCTCGTTTTGACTGTTACGGGTCTCTCTTGCGATATCCTAGTCTGGGCAGGGTATGGCGTCCAGCGAAAGTTGTCCCGAGTAATCGTCATTGGAGGCGATATGGAGTCGTATTTCCCAGCCGTGCCTTGTAACTCCTTAGGAGTCGTTTGATAAGATAGCAGTTTTCTCTCTGGAGTAAAACGGGCGCAGGACGGAGCAGCATATTGGTTGGGAACGGGGCCGGGCATTATATCTTGGTATCTGCATATGGCACCATTGCATTCTGTCGAAGGACACGGACATCGGTAGTAGAAGAAGTTCGTAGACATGTCTTTATCTGGGTATCTTCTCGCTGTTTCTGGTCGATGCTTGATAACTCTGAGTTAACCCGTTTATAAGTGCATCTTTTATGTAAGTTTGGGTCAATAAACAGCATAAATGAAAACGGATATTACTGTATTAAGTGAGAAATAATCATTTCTATCTCTTTTGTTTGCTTTGGGTTGTGTGTAATAATAACTTAATCATGAGATCGGATGTAACACTACCCAATCTATACCAAGGAAATTTTGTTCTCTAGTTCCTTATTTTGATGAAATAGGCCATTGTAATCGTACAGTAATCGCACTTATTGCCTCCTGTTCGTCAAAAAGTCATTTTATCGTTGTACATGAGTAGATTATCAAGATCGAGAGTACGTTAAAAAGCATGCAATTAGTATTCCCCTCTCCAAAGGGGACAGCCTGTCCAAGTCTAAAATAATGAATAGTTAACATACAATTTAGCTGGTCATAATTTGAAAAATACACTTCTTGCAAATCAAATCATTTTCTTTCATTAGTTAGCAATATCTAGGTGCGAAAAACTTGCCAGCATTTTCATGAGAAATTAATTGCGCCCTCCGCCAACTAAGAGCAGGTGAAGTTGGACGGACTAAGCGGCGTTGTTGTTGTCTTTTTTTTTTATCTTTGGTGACTTTTATTTGTGTTTTGAGTCACCATCTGTGTTAGTTGTATCGATAGTAGAGAATACATGGAATTGCGTCGCTCTCAAAGTAGTACAAAATCACAAAAAAGACCGTTTTGTTCGTTCTACTGTCGCCTTTGCTAGCTATACATAATTTAATTTGTTCGTTTACAAGCAAGCAATTGCGCGTGCTTATTAAACGTCTTTTTAGTTTTAATCAATTACAGACTGGAGAAGAGCAATATCATAGTTAAAACTGCGTAATTATCGGATTCACTGACAGCAAAGTTTGGGAATTGAGTTTGGACACAAAAAGACTAATAGTTGTCGCCAGTGTGGCGTAAATTGTCTTCATGGCTTTATTCGATTTCTTGATCTAATAAACTTGACTGAATCGGGAACCCTTTTGTGGTAATTAAAACAAGTAGCTTTTGTCAGTATTGTCCAAAGCTAAGGCGAAGGTTTTTTAAATCTAATTAAACTGGCTCGAAGCCTTTTTTGGTAGTTGTTAAAAGTGAAAGAGAATGAAAATATTTTAACGAACTCTTATCTGTAGCCAATGCCTTGCAGTGATCGAGAAATTTCTCACATCGTAACGTAACCATGCCCCAATACCGATTTGTCATAATCGTTAGGAGCCCGAGAATTTTTAAGTCCCTCCTTTATCGTAACATTACTGATCTTAACAAAGAATCTATTAGTTTCGTGTTGTTAGAAACTGTAGAAGTTCCTATTTCTTACGATTACTTACTGAACGTTTTAAAATCAAGTCTATGTTCGACTTCAACAGTTATATAGTGATAACAAAATCTCCCCACACCGTTTCAAGCCTGAAAAGCAAAAATGAGCGTTTGTGCCGTTTTGTCAATGAAAAGAACAATTTCTCATTAAATTTATTTTTTACAAAATAAAATGGCGGTACGTAGAGACTGAAAATTTTAAAGGTAAACACAGGAGCTTGAAAGTATCATCTGAAAGTTATCTCTGGAAGATATCGAAGATCACCGAATAATCCAAAACGTTTTTTTTTTTTTTCATGGCTCAAAAAAGAACCATGGACAAAACTTAAAAAAGACAAAAGTGAACGAAATTATCATTTAGAAAATGACTTTCATCAGGAAATAGTCTTTTTACGAGCTTCGAATGACTGCCAAACTGTACAAAATACACATTGAGTTACAATTGTTTGATGAAAAAAAGCGGTCCAATGATGAGACTGAAAACGAACGACATGAAGCTATCGAAAGTGTCAGCGTAATTGATGGTTTAATTACATCTAGGATCGTATATGAAAACAATACGGTAAACGATTAGAATGAATTTATTGGCAATTGACCACTAACTGTACATTACACTTGGTACACAGAAGCAGCAGGTGATTCTAGAAGGATTTTGGCACGTGCGATCAAGTGTTCCTTATTTCATGAAAACAAATAAGTTATCCCCGTGTTGTTGTAATACTGCCAACGCAGGACGTAAAAATGGAGTATAAAAATATACTCGACATTAAAGAACCTCTTTTTCTTCAATTTAATAAACGCAAGTAGAGTGTTAAATGAGACTTTTGAAAACCCGTTTATTGGAAGAAACTTTGTCAGGTGAATTTAGAAGTCAATATTTACTGAAGAACTGAGCTGGCGGCTGATTTTTGTTACTTTATTCCGTTGCTGTTGATCCGTATTTTCTAAGCACCACTTTAAAGATACAACTGATTTTTAAAATACAAGGTATAAGACCAGTTAGGAAGGCTACCAAGTTACACACTCACGGAAGAAAGTGTTTATTTCTAGTTTATGTTCCTAAATTAAGCACATAAATGGCTCAATGCTAAGTTGAGCTTGATTAAACTAGTATTGTTTAAAATTAACTAAAGGCACACGTGCCCTGCATGTTTAAAAACAGAGTTGATTGTGTTCTTTGTTGCTTTTGAAATTTCTTTCCTTGTCTTTTATTGTATTATTTTTTATATGAGATATTTTCATTTTTGTTTTAAAAAAATGGAAGGCCGGGAAGGCGCCCGTTGTCTGATAGCGGGGGAATGGCGTTTTTGTGCTGTTCTCGCGAAGTGGCCCATAACCTGGTTCAGCAACCGTCTGATATCGGCACACTACGTTCCGCTCACTCATGAAACAAATTTATAGCTCAACGTTACCGAAAATTTCTCAGTTTCTGCCCAGACCTTGTGTTTTAGTCCAAGTTCTCAAACGGATCTCCTCATTTGGACAGTATTGAAAAGTGCATGGCAACAAAGTAGCCGTCATTTAAATAGCTTAACATACGTGAAACTGAGGTGAATGAATTACCTTATCTTTACAATAATGCTCATTTATTATACGTGTTATTTGGCTAGGGCTATTTTGCGTTTGAAGACGAAAAGTTAGACTGAGTTTAATAAATATCGATTACCGTCGAATTTCAAACAAATGAATCATTTTGATGGATCCGTTTCATATTTTTGTAATAATCAATATTTTTATTAATAAGTGAAACATCTAAACTTAGAACCTTATTTTATACTTTGAATCGATTAAATTAGATTAAGAACTATTGAAATGGCTCTCTTTGATAATTCGTAATACCGTTCAAGCTGCCAAAAAGAATTTGCTGGACGAGACATTTATTGAATTCATTTTTTACGTCATTAAAAAAATTGAAGGCCGATTTCACTAAACAAATTTTTCCGAAAAAAGAAACACTAAAGTTTACGACTTCAGCGGTAATTATAGATTTCAGCTGAATAACCTTCAAATTAAATTACCGTTTCTTATTCACCTCATCGAAATAACCAAACTATTTAGCAGGTCTTGTTTCATTGACTATTATGGACGGCTTCGGCCTTCGGGGATGCCTTTTTCACTAAAACCGTTACGTTATCACTTCTGATTAGAAAAGAAAATATCCTGATTCAAAGGGGATGTTTATCAGATTGCTGTTTAATTCTGATGTTTTCTTGCTTGTCAGCATCAGCGGAGCTCTTAAAACATTCCCCGCTTTTCAATTTCATCCACCTTGAAATTGATAAGCAAATTCATATGTATACCGCACCTAACTAGGATATTATTTACTTAGCACAGAAGAGCGAACGGATCCCTCTTGCGGTTATGCATTAATGTTGTTTTACTTTCTCTCTAAACTAATCTGACTTTTAAAATTAAAAACTCACCCTGGCTCCAGAGGTCCGTTCTCCAAATACCAAAGGATAAAATAATCGTGTGTACGGTTTGATAAAGCCGCGAACTATCAGGAATATAGAAAAGAAAAAACCCTCTGGCGCCCAGGGTAAAATAACTTCGAAAATTAGTATTTCTTGCGAGAAGAGTTCAGTCGCGCGGTGCCCAGTGGCGTTCTTATGTTGACAAAATTGCACTGCCTGGCTATTATAGAGTTCAAAAAATTCGGCGGGTTCCTTGTCTTACTTCAGTGCGCGTGCTAAGCTCAGCGAGCGAACCCAATAGAGGTCAACTACAAACTAACTCAGCACCATTTTCTCAAACTGTAAGAGATCTAAGTATCTGTTAACATAAGAAAAGTGTGGCTTAAAGTCTTTTATCGTTTCAGCAATAAAAAGATTGAGACCATTTTAGCGTAGAAACTTTGCTATAACCAGTATGTTAATGTATGTCTCTATTGTTTTTTCTCCCCAAATGGAAATCAATTTTAAGATCCATTTATTCCACGGCTGGCTTTAAAACGGTTACTGAAACAATTATAGCAACTTTTTGTGGTATTTTTTTCTGATCGTGTGCTCTTCTTTACGCTCTTTCGCCGTAGTTGTCGTCAGTTAAATAAAATTGTACGCGAAACAATTGAACAATGGGGTACGAATAAGAAGCTCCAGAAACCGATAAGCTTCTATTCTTGTAGCCTGTGAACAGGCTCTCTGTTTGGGGAAAAAATAGCAAGGATAGGGAAGGGAAACGGGGAACGGGGGGGGGGGGGGGGGGGGGGGGCCTTTTGCCTTTTCCCCCCCCCTGGGTCCCCCCCCGCCCAAACCCCTATTCAAAAACTATTCTTCCCTCTTTTTTCCAATTTTGCATGGTTTTTTTAAACCCCGCCTCAAGGTATTGTTGTTTGGGATGGTCCCGTCCTGGTAAATGGAAGAATCATTTTTTGTTGTTGTTTTTTTTTGTTCCTTTTGTTCGTGGTGTTTGTTTGCAAAAAAAAAAAGTTCGCGAGAAAAAAAAAAAAAGAGGGGGAGAAAAAAAAGAAGCAAAAAAACAGTATTTTTTTTTTTTGTGGGGGGGGGGGGGGGGGTTTGTGGGGGGGAGAAAAAAAGAGGGGGGGGGGGGGGGGGGGGGGGGGGGGGGGGGGGGGAGAGAGCCTTTTCGCTTTTCCCTCTCCCTAGTTCCCCGCTCGACCAAACGCCTATTCAAAGACTATTCTTGCCTTACTTTTCCAATATTGCATGGTTCTGTTAAAGCCGGCATCAAGGTATAGTCTGTTCGGATAGTCCCGTCATGGTAAATGGCAGCATCATTTCTGAGGAGCAATTTCTTAGAATTTTCCAATTTTTAGCTCTGGTGACGCCCTGTTTCTCACATTCAAACGTTGTTGAAATTCACATTTATTCATCTTTTTGAGTTTAATCGATATTGATTAAGAAGCTGCGGAAGCCGGCCCCTGTCTAGCCCTGTTCGAAGGTGATTTTTCAACCTCGTCCCAAACCACACAGGAAAATGGTGGTCCTGTGGTAGGCAAAACCCACTCTCCCTACCCTCGTAACATTTTTTCCACTTTCCTGATCAGATCATGTGATGAGAATCTTTAATCAACCAAGATGGCGCCTCTACCTGGAGAAGAAGGAGCCGCAAAAGAACATGCTGCCGCTGTTACAAGAGACTATATTTCACAGCCAAGAATCAGTGAGTTATTCAAAACTGTCATACGAACTGAATTTTGTTGTTTGATTCCCTATTGTCTCGTTACTTGCTTAGAAATTCATCCAGGATTTACGCTCATCGCGACCAACTTCTTGCGCGCCTGTCGGTTTATGTGTTGATTTTCTTTTTTTGCGGTTTGTTTTTTCAGCGTATAAAACAGTTTCTGGTGTAAATGGCCCTCTGGTGATTCTAGATGATGTAAAGGTATGATTTTAGTTTGAAGAGAATTTTTCTTGAAGGCTCATAAATTAAACACAATGTATTAAAAAAACATCTGAGCCGAAGCTAACATTAGGTTAATTTTGACAAACCTGCCCGGACTGGCAGGGTTAGCTACCGATTATCAAAAATCTTTAGAAAACTAGCGATTTAGCATTAAAGTGATTCAGTTATAAAATTTGCAGGATTTCTCTAAGTTCACCATAGTTTATTTCGTTTGAACTTCAGTTTTTCATGTGATCACTTGCATAAGCTTTTATGTAGTCTTCGTACCCTGTTAAGCTTAGTAAAAATGATTGAAACAAAGTCATTAAGTGCTTTCACACTGAATATCTCCAAAGTAGATGTAGGTGTGGCCGAAATTTGTCCTAGTCTGTGTGTATGATAAGGAATATAAAACATGAAAGTTGTTGTTTTGGCTTGTTTTAGTTCCCAAAGTATGCTGAGATTGTGACATTAACATTGCAAGATGGTTCACAGAGAAGTGGACAAGTGTTAGAAGTTAGTGGGTCTAAAGCTGTTGTGCAGGTAGGGCTCCCAACTCAGGGCCCACGGAGGTAGAGGGGCCAGCGGGGCCAATTTTTGGCAAAATAATAATAAAAAAATAACAATTTCCCGAAGTTCTTCACCAAGGGCCTCTTCACATGAGCCTGGTTGACCAGGCTGGCCCAGTTACCTGGACGAATGTTGCCTTGGGTTGCAGCCCAGTTTCTGAGAGGAGTAGAGGCCAAAGATCCTGGGGATGAGTTCTGGCACTAAATTCAAGAAAAATTTCCAGCCTAGTTACAGAGATCCCACACACTCATTTGAACACATGCAAAGGATTTAGAAGTAAGGCAAGATCTCGGAGATCAGGCAGTCCAGTCAACCGGGCTCATGTGAAGAGGTCCTAAATAAGTTTTTTGATACTAGACTAAGACTCTAGTTTTTCCTGAATAAGGACGTACGTAATGATTAACTTATCTGTATCAAGCAGCCATTAATTTCATCCTGCGGGTGTGTGAGTAAAAAGGTTCATGATGACGAGGTACATATTTTAAAAGAAGGTCAGGTTTAGCACTGCACGTCCTTGCTAACAACCTGCACATAGAGGCACTTGAATTTATTGATCTAAACTGATAAACAAAGAATCGGCATGCTGTTATTAGAATGCCGAAAGAGAGGGACAGAAAATTCACACTGTTTCTCAAAAATTGAAAAACACACTGCATTCAGCTATTTGTTGATAGTATTCAATTCATTTTTTGTTACACAAAATCTGTTGACTATAGCATTCTTATAACAACTATTGTAGATCCATTTGAACAGGCTAAGAGAAGCTTTTGTATCACTCCCCCTCTCGGCTTCCCTACGCACTTGAATACAGTGGTCCCTGCACTTGAAAAACTGCTGTGCAGGCCCTGCAACTCTGTCATTTGGGCCTGACGCCAGATATTAACGTTAAACTCTAAAGAAGAAAAGAAAGAGCCCCAGCTAGCAAATCAGTCCATTTTGTGTTGTTTACTGTTAGTTTTATCATTAGTATGTGTAAACTATGAAAACCTTGCTTGTTAATGAAAATACAGCAGTTTTCTGAGCCAGATTATTACTGGCCCTTTTGAGAAACAGAACTCTGAGGTGATGATGTCACAAAATTCAATTTTTGAAATTATTGCTCACATTGTTTTAAGTTGGATATTCAGAAGTGTCTTTTTGCCAAAAACAGAATTTTCTTGCAGATTTATTTTTATTACGATATGACGACCTGCTCTGATGACTCCATATTGTCAAGCCCTTCTTTATTTGACTTGGCTAAAAAATTAATGACTCAAGTCAAGTTTAGAAGAATTTGTATGCAGTCATCAGAGCATAACAGTGCTAATAAAATCAATTACCACCAATAAGCACAGGCATGCTAATTTCTGGCATTTTTTTGTCTTACTGTTTTTTTTTGGCGATGTTAACAAATCCCATAAGTTAAAAATTTGAAAATGATATCACACCTCAGGACTTTACTTCAGTTACAGTTAATACTAGCTTGTCTGATAAAAGCTAATTAACTCTTCTTTCAAAAAGGTTTTCGAGGGAACCTCCGGTATTGATGCCAAACACACCACCTGTGAATTTACTGGTGACATTTTGAGGACTCCTGTGTCATCAGATATGTTGGGTAAGGATCTATAAAGTTTGTGCTTTGCTCTTAAACTGATATCTTCCAGATGCTAAATCGCTTGGTGGGTAAATGTAGTTTAGGCAAAGTTAACCTTGAACCAGTGCTGGTCAGCAGTTTTCCCAGCTATGTCTAGGGGTGGCCCTGGTGCCCTTAGCAGGGGCACTTTGTGACTTGTATATGCAGTTGCTAACTTGCAGTTCTTCACAAAGTGTTTTTGCTACAGCTTGTTGCTGGATCAAGTTTAGTGCTGTGTTTCTCCCACCCCTCCCTCCTTCTTTATCTCAGGGCTAGGTGACTATTGTTCCATAAGTATTCCACTGAGTGGTTCAGCGTGACCATGCTTGGTGGTGGCAGCTCACAAGGTTGCCATAGATACCCCTTTCCTTGTGCTAAAGCATTGCCCAGCTCCACTACCAACCTTGTAGGCACCAGCGCGCAAGCTTATTCATTGGTGATCCATTTAAACTTACACAAAAAAATAATATTAATAATCACTAATGCTTTTTTTTTAGGTCGGGTGTTCAATGGGTCTGGGAAAGCCATCGATAAGGGCCCTGCAGTTATGGCAGAAGATTTTTTGGACATTCAAGGTAAAATGTTATGACAAGTGTATAAGTTCCAAACTTTTTCTTTGTTTCTGATTATTCTGATGGCTCTTAGCACAAGGGAAAATTAAAATGAAGCTACTTTTAAAATTATTTTAAACCAGAGAAAGATTAATGCACCACATAATGTTGTATTGTGTGTTTGTTTTTCAAACCAGGTTTATAATTTGTCATTTCCTTTGTCTCTGTCCCTGATATGGAAAAATTATGTTAATCCAAGATTCAGGAATAAAAAAACATTAAACCTGTTAGGAAAATTTTAAACCAAAGAGGAAGTTGAATCACAGCCAGTATCATGGCATGTAATGGTTTGCGTGGAATGTGAGTGTAATATTGGGTCTTTTGTTTAGGTCAGCCAATCAATCCATGGTCCAGGATTTATCCAGAGGAAATGATTCAGACTGGCATTTCTGCGATTGACACCATGAACAGGTCAGAGCTATAAATAACAATATTAACAAGCTTCTACTGCAGTTTAGATTGCTTGTTTTGATATAGGAGTTTTTGCCTCTTTTTATCCTTGACAGTTTATACCATATACATGTACCAATGCATCTGTTTTGCAATTCAATACTTTATGGTCTGATAGAAAGAGGTTTTTCAAAGTTTCAATTTACTTGGCGAGAATAAGTACTAATTGAGGACCCTGCTTAAACGTTCCTTACTGGAGACAGGAAATATGCCACTTCCTTTTACATGGTCCTCTAGCCACAAGAAGGCCAAGGCTTTTATAAGGCAAAGGCTGCACATTCTTCCTGAGGTATTTTAAGGCCACAAGAATTGGTCCAGCCCTTGGTATCAATACTGCAACCTTCTGATGATCAACACACAAGTGCTCCGTGTCTGGAGTCATGTACCTCTACATTCAGAGAACTGTTCTTAAGCTAAATCTAGTGATTCACTATTTATTCTCGATACATTTTTACCTGTAAAAATTTTTTTGTCATGTTTCTCCTGATCTGGTAAATTAAATGTTATTTTAATTTAACCATGTGAGACAGGAAAAATGTTCTGAACAAGGAGGTAACATTACATGTAATATTGCATTTTGTTTTCTCAGCATTGCCCGTGGCCAGAAGATACCTATTTTCTCAGCAGCTGGTCTTCCCCACAACGATGTAAGCTTGGCATCATAGTTATTTTTGCCATCATATTGCATGCATGCACACTGGAAACATTTTTTTAATTTTGATCCATCAACAGCTTTAATCTAATTAATTCTGTCAACTGAATAATTTCATCCAAAAGAGAGAAACATGAAGATTACATGCACCAAAAGGTGAGAGCTAAAAAGAGAAAACTATTTGATTAGAAAATATAAATTATATGCATGAAGAACAAAAAGGGAGAAGAAAACGTTGAATCACATAATGACCAATAACACAAAATTTATTGTCTTCTGTCCGTTGTAATTTCTCTGTACGGGTATTTTACTTTAGATTGCTGCCCAGATCTGTAGACAAGCTGGTTTGGTGAAGTTTAAGAAGGGAGTCATGGATGACCACAGTGATAACTTTGCTATTGTCTTTGCTGCTATGGGAGTGAGTTCACTAATCATTGCATAGATATCATTCTCTTTTGGATTGTGTACAAAATGTCTGGTGTTTCATATGCCAAAGTTTGGTGTATTTTGTAACAAATATTTAACAATAATTATTGGACAAGGTTGAGGAAAATATTGTCATTTGTCAGTGGCTAGCAGATCAGTTATGTGCTGGAGCTGAAGGCTGAGGAAAATAGTTGATCTGCGAGACACTGACAAATGACAATATTTTGTGATAACCGAGTTCACCATTGTTTTATCATTCGATCGCAAATTTTTTTTTTAATAATAATATTTTCAGAGCGATTTGCCATTTTCACGAAAGACGATTGCAAGAAGGAGAAAAGCGTGGTTTCATTTACGTATTAGTAGAATATTATTTGTAGCCAAACACAGTTGGACAATATTAAGCATGAGCAGACCATTATTTTGTAGGCAGTTATTTGCAGGTCACGTTATGGGCTCTTGGCAAATGAAAAGGAAGAAAAATTTGCATTGAATGATTGACTACAAAGAAACTCCAGAAACCTGGTTAACAGATGTTTTCTTCATTTTGAATTCTTTCACTTTTGTTAAGTAAGTACATTACCTTTGTTCTTTTGATTAGGTAAACATGGAAACTGCTCGATTCTTCAAGCAGGACTTCGAGGAAAATGGTTCTATGGAAAACGTGTGCTTGTTTTTAAATCTTGCCAATGATCCAACGTAAGACATTTTTTTAATTCTTTCAGATTTGATGCTTCAAATTTTATGTTTAACCCTTTAACCCTTCAAGTCTCAATATCCACATACAAATTCTCCAAACTGATCTCTATATATTTCCTTAAAGGATGAATTGAGAGAATTTGATAAAAGATCAGAGCATTTTCTCTTAGGTGATCAATTTATTAAATTCTCATAACCTAATCTCTTGACAATCTATGTATATCGCTATGAGAAAATTGATGTTGGTCACTATTGGGGCTTAAAGGGTTAAGAGATGTTGAATCACTTGCATTTTAATCCCATTAGTCAGGGCTTGAAGAAAAAAAGAAAAAAAAATTGAATTCCTGCTTGTCCTTTTAATAGACAAGCAGCTTTGTAAATGTTGGATGTGATTCAATAGCATCCCTCATGCTATTTTTTTTTTCCTTTTTTTGTACAATTGTACCATAAGTGAGGATGAACCAAAAGAAAGAAATTTCACTATTCCTGAGTTTATTATTGTTCCTTTCTATTGATTTTTCTCAATAGTATTGAACGTATCATTACTCCACGTCTGGCGCTGACCACAGCAGAATTCCTTGCTTATCAGTGTGAAAACCATGTGTTGGTTATTCTTACAGACATGAGCTCTTACGCTGAGGCCTTGCGAGAGGTGAGCTGGTGGAAAGTTTAAAAGAGTGTTGATTAAGCAAAAATTTCTAGTACACAGGAGCTTATTTCTTCCTGCAAGATCATGAGAATTAAGCATATGATCTTCCTAGTTTTATTATTTCTTCCTGCAAGAGACCTTATTCATGATATCTGCCATCTTTGCACATGTGCAAGGAGCTATGTCATGTCACACTTTATGTCACGCTATTTGCTGTCTTTGTAATTTGTCATCTGTTGCTATGGTGAGGGTGGACATAACATGGATTGAGACTTGAAAAACTGGACCAACTTTTTAAAATTTTAATTCTATGCCTAAAAATTTATTTTTAGAGATATCAAAACAACAGTGAATTTACCTGCCGGTTAAAAAAAGTTGCCATTGTAAGGACGTTGTTGTTAGAAGAGGTCTGACTTAAGTTTTTCCTTGATCATTTGACCTTTATTTTTATGAGCTAAGGTGCCTTGTTTATGGTAATGTAGGTATCTGCTGCTCGTGAGGAGGTTCCAGGCCGTCGTGGTTTTCCAGGTTACATGTACACTGATTTGGCCACAATTTACGAGGTAAAGTTCGTTGTTTAACGTTCTTACTATCCCCCAACATTTTCTAGATCCAAAATTTCAGAAAAATCACGATTTCTTTTGTAAAATTTTCGTGGCAAAAGGCAAATAGTACCGTGCAAGAGTGGTATCGAACAAGTTTCATTTAAATCATCGCACCACAAGGATGGGAAGAGTGCTTGATTCAGTTTAAGTGTACAGTAGGACTGGTGAGCAGGGTATCTCCCCACTGTATTTGTTAACAGACTCAAAATTTGAACTGCATCACGCTTTTCCGTAGTTTTCTGAAGTTGATTCCAACATATGATGTAAAAGGCGACATTCTGCAAGAATTCACAGTATAAAAGTGTAAGGTCCCTGAGTCTTCCTCTTTCCGGAATACTACTGTCAATTTGTACGTCCTTTATTTATTTTTGGCGTGTTTCCAGATGAACTTTTAAACATTAACGGGCTTTTGGTTATTCGATCAGAGGTTTACTCTTATTCATAGTATAAACGATGACGTTTGCCACAAGTCCCTTTTTACCATCGAAGCTTATACCTTGTATATTTGTATCTTTGTATTAAACGAAAGATAATTCTGATCATTTTACAGCGTGCTGGACGCGTGGAGGGAAGAAATGGCTCCATTACTCAAATCCCGATTTTAACTATGCCCAACGATGGTAAGAAATTATTGTTTTACGTTGCATTGCTCAGAATCAAGTTGGCTGACCGCAGTTGCAGTGGCAGTAGTTGTTGATTCCAGAGTGTTTGGTTTTCGTTTCCAGCACTTCGTTGTCTGTGCTTACATATCTTATAACCAACTTCCTTTACCGTATTGTAAACACCTTTGGAACCGTGATTAAGTACCCATAATAGCGAGAGTTTCTCTCAGCCTTTCACCTGATAAAAATCAGACATCGGACAAAATTTTTGGGAATTCGTCAAGAAATGAGCGCGTTTCTCGGGAATCGTACACCCGCGTCCTCTCCCTCCCGGGAATCGAATATCCGTCTTTTAAGTTATTTTTTCAACATGTCGCCTAATGTAAGAGATTTCAGAATTCGGGATATTTTTGTTAGTGGGATTCGGAATCCGGGGGGATTTGAGTTTGGGATTCCGGAATCCTGGGCTTTGGAATCCGGAATACAGCTCAAGGAATCCGGAATACCACTAATGATTGTAGTCCAGAATCCAAGTTCTAAAGACAAAGACTGGAACCCAGTACCTTGAATCTGGAATCCAGTGCGTGGAATCCAGAATACAAAACTGTCTTGGATTTTCTTACATGGGGCAAAACTTGGCCGCCGCTCCTCCGGTAGAAAGGTCTACTACTACTGAACAAACCACCATCTTACAATCATGTATCAGTCTAAAGTTTGAACTAATTTATAATTTCGTGTTTTTTTTATTTTTATTTTTTAGATATCACCCATCCTATCCCAGATTTAACAGGATACATTACAGAAGGACAGATCTACGTCGATCGTCAGCTACACAACAGACAGGTATAATAATTTTGTAACGTTTCGCCCGAAAGTCGATTCGCCCGATGACATACAACACTCTATACAACATGGTCAACCTACTTCTCCGAGATGTTATTTTAGTCAACCTTGGATTCCACATGTGCAGTCCTGAGTGTCTTTCCATGCTTATTCCTCTTTTTTCAGAGTTAAAGAACGACAAATACACATCGGGCGAATCGACTTAGTCTGGGCGAACTGGCGAATCGACCGTCGGGCGAAACGACCCTATACCGTAACAGTACCTACGAGCTCACCGTTTAGTTTGAATTGATATAGTAGACTGGAAAAGGGCTTGTTTAAAATTGACTTGGAATCTGGCGTGCAATAAGGTTGGAAAAATAGTGATGATAAAAAAAATCGTCAAGTGGTGGCCACGGTAAAGATTGAGTTTCAGAAGCTGTGGTTTTGAGTGCCGCAACGTCGAACAAAACCTGTTGAGACAGGTTTCAAAAATACCAATTTTTTTCGTGTCATCCTGGCAAAAATGGAAACCGTCACCAAATGAATACCCGATCCCTCCTCCCCTTATCCAACTTTGTTTAGGATAACACAGGAATTATGCAGGCTGGTTTTTACACCAAAACAACTTTGAATAAGGTGTGGGAAGGAAGCTTACTTTGTCTCTTTAGAGGAGGTGGTACTATACCGCCAAAGTTAGAAAAGAGATGGAACTGTCTCAACATTTCTGTATGAGGTTGAAGTTCTTCTTAGTCGCAAGCTCAAGGAATCTACTTATTTAAAACAAATTTATTTGCGTAAAAAAAGATGGTAAAAATAAAGGATTGGTACAAAATGGGTGCCAACAGAGAAGAACTGAATCCTCATACACTGCTGACTCCCTCGAATTGTGGGTTGTGTCGGGTACAGGGTGTATGACAGCAGTCATGTGGAGCTACACTATTGGTCGTGCGATGGAAGGGTGAAAAACGGCAAACGTCTCAAGCGAATTAACTTTGTCGTGTGCAAGCTGCAACGATTTTCTAATTCGTTCAATAACATATAAAAGGAAATATAGTTTATTGTTTTTGATTAAGTGAAAATTTCTCTCTAGGTGTACCCACCAATCAACGTGCTACCTTCGTTGTCTCGATTGATGAAGTCTGCCATTGGTGAAGGCATGACAAGAAAAGATCACGCTGATGTCTCTAACCAACTGGTATGAATAATGTTTCTACAATAACAGTCTAAACATGGGAATCCTTAAATGAAACTTCTACCAAACTGAATTCAGCATCCATTTACCATAGTTTGTGTTTTCAGTTTATATCTTGCTCAAAGTTCGTTATTTTTTACTTTTCTCTATCTGAGATAATGGTGTTTGTACGAAAAATGTGAACAAAAATTCTGGAGGTTTTGTTGTTCCTTATTTCAAGAATAAACCACTCTTCGGATCGTACTGTTAAAGGCAGAATATACAAGCCAGATATCACTATAGTTAAACTCGCAGACGAAGAATGAATTTTTAAACGTTTAACATATTTTGGCAAGCCTTTGTCAAGAAGAAACATGACGTAGTCTAGAAATGATATTTGCGTGAAATTACAGATAGATACATGCAGGCTGAACAAAACGGTTCGAAAACTGGAAAGTCGTGAAATTAAGAATTTCGTTTTCCAGGCCTGGAAAGTCATGGAATTTTGTTATCGGCCATGGAAAGTCATGGAAAAGTAAAATTGTGCTTGGTAGCTTATAGTCACTGTTCATGTGAAAGCAAGGAAATATAATTAAGAAGACAAGGACAAGTAATGGGCCAATTGCACGATTATGACGTCTTTTTACTACTAAAACCAGAATTCATTTCGTTTTTTCTTTCGTTTCTAAATTTGGTAGTCCCAGTGAGGTTTAAATATCAAAGGTCTTAATTTGCGCAAGAAAGCAATACCCTGAAGGATTCTGAAGCCTTCGTGCAAATGGACTATTAAATGCCGCAAACGCCACGCATTTGAACTGAGTTATGCGAATAAAAAAACCAAAAACAAAATTTTGAAAATTGACAGCTAGACGTAAGGTCATGGAAAGCTGGAGAAGGTATAGAAAAAGGCTTGGGAAAGTCATGGAATTTGAAGGGCTCAAAATAGTACGAACCCTGACCAAAAACTAACTGTTTTATTGTACTTTCAGTATGCTAACTATGCCATCGGCAAGGATGTACAGGCTATGAAAGCTGTGGTCGGAGAAGAGGCTCTCACTTCTGAAGACTTGTTGTATTTAGAGTTTCTGTCAAAGTTCGAAAAGAATTTTATTTCACAAGGTAATGCAGCAGTCACTCATACCATCAGACCCATCACATTTCAGCGGCCAAGCAAGCTCCGAGTTCGATAGCCTGAGGAAAACGCAGCCGCTATTTCGCTACGCTACCACGAGAGGTTTCTCTGCAAAATGACGTCTGAGAAAGGAGCGTAGAAATTCCATACTGATGACGCGTCACTCCCCAGATCTGGTTTGTGCTTCTGATTGGTTGAAGCAAACTTTCTGCAAATAAGAAACAGTACCCAGATCTGGATAGTGTTGCGTCATCAGCTGTTTTCTCAGGCTACAAGTTCAGGGGATAGACGAGGGGAGGGCATAATAACCCCCTGTCCTCTCCCCTCGATAGAAGTCGAAAATCACAATACGCGTGGCAGGCGACCGTAGAGGCACGAGCGCAAAACCTGTACTGCAGAGAACCCAAAAGAGTATTTGCTCCACCTCCAGTCTTGACTCAGAAATATACAATTTTTATGGACTTCGTCTTTCTTGTCAGAAATATTGTTCTCGTGCTATGGTAATAACGAAAACTGATGTACGTAACTCCACGAGTTAACGTCGGGAATCTGGATTTTAAGGCTAGCTCTTGCCCCCGAGACAAAAACAATACCGGATGCGGCTTCTGTTCACACATAAGAACGATGGTTTCGGCGCGATTTCTGTAACGGAGCGAAGCTGCGCCGAGCCTAGGATCGTCATTTTTCGGAAAGGCTTCTGTGCCACTCTTTGGCACAGTGTGAACAGGTTTTCGGAGACATTGGTTGTTTACCATTTACAACATGTTTTCGGAAAATCCCGTCGTAAAGTAAATGAAACACCACTTTTTAGGTCTTTCCAGCGGAAAGTGTCGGGGAGCAACAAGCATCTGAAAAGGTAGTCCTGTTATTCCGGACAGAATATTCCAAACGGAAATGTCGTGTCCCATTTCTTCAAAGCCATCTTTGATACCATTTTCAGACCTTCGCGGTTGTTTTTCGGTAAATGGAACTGATTTGTACAGATGGTAAATGCGATTCCGGGACAAAATTTATCAGTCCAGAATTTTGCATACCATTTGCCCAAACTGTGAACCGATTGGTTTGTCCACGTAAATGGTAAACAACCGTAGCTTAAGTGTGAAGTCCTTGGCCGTCCGGTTTAAAAAATTGAATACCCTTCTTAGAGTTGAGTTGAGTTGTTGGTTATAGAAGGCAAGATCCTTAACATATTACATTTTTTTTTTCTCTTTTTTGCAGGCACATACGAAAACCGTTCTGTATTTGACTCACTCGACATCGGCTGGTCCCTGCTACGAATTTTCCCCAAAGAGATGTTGAAGCGTATCCCACAGTCTATTTTAGCAGAGTACTATCCAAGGGACGCAAGAGGAGGAGCCAGCTAAATCATTTAATATACAATTAATTATGAATTCTTTTTTAAATTTAAAGAGACTAGTTCCAGTGATTTATGTTCAGACTGTAAAGTGGCAAGTTGAACCAAGGCGAGCTCACGTCCATCAAAACCAAACAAAATGAACTATGTGCAGGCTACACTATGAAGCGTCGGGATTGTGAACCGGTCTCTCGCTTATTGGGCGATAGAAACTGGGAAAACTTCCCTGCCCCATCGCTTTGGTTATCTTCGCCTCTTCTCCGACACGGATCAGAAAACGTGAATGGCCACAGAATTCATCTCGTGAAATGATTAATTTCTTATGTCAAAATGTTTCAATTATGGTATTAAATATGTAATCGAAAGTCGGTAGCACTGCTGATCAGACCTCTGATAAGAGAATATGTTACTTCAATCTGTGAGCTGATTGTAGGCCTCTGGGCTTCTGCAGGAAACAGAGCGACAGTACTTTCCTGCTTTGTGCGTTTAGACAGAAATTTGGCAATGATGTGGTATAATCGCAGCTAAATGACAAAATAAACTTGTAAACTGTCACCCTGAGTATTCGCAACTGTCATCTTTGTTATCATAAAGTTTTCTCGTCCTCCCTTACCGGCCGTCCCTCATATGGAGTTTGCTCATCTCCTTAGGCTTTCTCGGCCAATGCGTCTCGGAGACGTAGCCGAGACGAACAGAGGGAAACAAACTCACAAACTCGTTCGGACCACGTGACCCGAAACGCATAGGCCGCGCGGAATAAAGAGGCCTAGGAACTAGGCCCGTACTGTACCACTTAGGAGACAAACAGCAGCAAATGCATGAAGTTTGTCAAATACGATTGAAACATCCTTCAATTGGAAGCCTCGAGGTAGTTCAAGGGCAGGAGCACGGCAGAGAAATGTAAAAATATATATTATAGGCGCGTGGAGAAGCGCTTTTCTTCAAATCAATATCAATGCTATTGAGTTTGTACCCCTTCTTCTGCCGTCTACATCTTGATTGCTAACTTGCTGTTGTAGACTAGTTCTCTTACGTAAATCTGAACCATTCATGATACGGGGGACATGTGGTGATGTTATTTAGTTTGACTTTAATCCTGCAGGCAGCATTCTTTGTGAAGCCATAATTATTACAACCAATAGCTTTTGCCTGGAAAATACATAACAACGAATGATCAAACCTTCAAATATTGACATGACTCTCTGGAAACGTATAACAGCAAATTGCTTTGATTTTCAATCTAACGCCAAAATTTCAGCCGCACTCCCTGCAGACGACGTCTCTCTCGGAAATGTGCGAATCGAGGAGACGGCTGAAACTCGGGCTATAAATAATTTAATGTGTAAAAAGCGCCGCTACGACTCAAGCCGTGTTTGTGGTTATTGTGGGATTAGATCCACGAACCATAACTTATAAAAGGGTAAGGAATTTTTTTGGTGTAGCTGACAGTATAATTCCGTCTAAAATCATTTGAATTTGCAGCAATATGTTAATTTCACTGCAGACCCAGAAAAACGACTTCTAATCTGAACTGTTGATTGTTTTCAGTAAATCCACAAGTTGAAGGTCGGACAAAGTATTTTCGTCCGGGTCTTCGTTATTGTCCTGTGTATTATCTGTATGGTAGTGTATTTCTAGGGAAGAGAGCTTCAGAGAATTCTCATTATCTTGTACGTGATTTGATTCCTCGCATCTCTCAAAATCACTCGTTTTATCAGTAGAGTGTTCTTCAGGTGATTTTACATCTTCCTCCCGACAGGGTTTCTCTTCTTGTTGTTCTTCTTCATCTTGTGGACTGCCACTGTGAACTTGAACAGGAGTTTGCTCTCCTAAAATATCATCTACCTCATCCGAATCAACATAATCTAACTCAACACAACCGAGTTCTTCCAGTGTATCTATAGGGCTTCCGGTCACATTGACCAATACCCCCTCTTCGACCTCGCCCTGATAGGAACTCAATTCAAAGCCTGGACTCCCGGGTGACGATGGGGAGTCCGGTTCGCTTCGCCTGTTTTCATGTTCTACAGTTTCGTGAGTTTTGCTGTTGCCATTAGTTCTTCTCTCCTCTTCAGGAATCAAGGCTTGAAGTCTGTCGTAAACTACTTCTTTACTGAGCATATCTGCTTCTGTAGAACCATAGCCTCGATGACCTGATAACGAAAGATTACCAAAAACAGGTTATAGACGCGGGTTATAGAAGACGGTCTAACAAGCTAGCTGTATTCTGGTCATTACGGCTCTCGTTATTGCAAGTGTACAATCAGTATTAAAACACTTTTTTCATCAGCTCTGGTGAAGATATGTAGTATAGAAAATCCCAACACTCAGAGCAAAAATTTGAGACAAAAAAAAAAAGCGAAAGTTTCGTCCCAATCGATCTAACTGAATAGGGACGAGGTACTGGACCTATTGGCAATTTACAATCCTCTCTTGGGGATACGTGACAACTTTTCTGTTCTGACGCAACCTGACACTTCACAACGCTGATGAAGTTCGAGCGATTCGGATGATATATTCGCTTTTTTTGTCTCTAATTTTGCTGTGAGTTTTGGAATTTTCTATACTAAATCAATATACATGTATAGGTATTAGAGTAGAATGACGCGTTAAATGTATCCTGCAAGGAAATTACGATTTCCCCTTCATTGTCCGATGCTCTTGACATGATCATCATCCACAGTCTCTTCCATTGGCCACTTTGAGGTTGCGCTGAAGTCCGGGTCGAGATGGTTGTCAAAGTGCATTGTGGGACTGTTTTGATGGACGAATTTGCCGCCACGTTGAAAATGCGTCCCCCAAAACAGTCCCACAATGCACTTTGACAATCATCTCTACCCGGTCTCCCGCGCAACCTCAAAGTGACGAATACACTTTTGCCAAACAAGGACTTAAATAGCGGGGTACTGGAGACGAGCAAGAAGTGCGAGTGAGGAATGATGGGAACGAGGGAGAGTGAGCGGCAAGAAATAAGACGGAAAATAAAGAAAGGGGCTCTGCTTTCCTGAATCATTATATTATCTATAATATCCCCAAAATAACCGATTGCCAGCAAATGGGAGCAGATCACTGCATCTCTTTCATTTCCTACAGAGTTTAAATTTTACCATCTTTCTTTATCACCATAACAATACAGACAACTCTCGCCTTGCGGACACCCCGCTATAACGGATTCCCCGATAATACGGACGGCAGCTAAATACCAGGCAAAAACATGTTACAGATGTTAGACTGAAATAAACTCCCGCTATTACGGACACTCGCTAATGAGGACACTAACTCGAGGTCCCTACAGTGTCCGCAATAAAGGGAGTTGACCGTATTGGTTAGATCTGAATTACCAGGTAAAAACAACGTGGTATGCATGTTAAGGAAACTGTCGGTGGATGCTCACCTTGTAAGGACCACAAGCCTGACACTTCTAACGTCTTGAGTTTCTTTTCAAGTTCTGCAACTCGATGGCCTAGGATCCTAGCAAGAGAAACAACATCGATGAAGTCAGTTAGACTCTGAAGCTGTAACGGATCTACCTCTAGCATCCCAGAACCTGGCGTCACTTGCGCAAGATCACTCTGAGAAAAAGGGGCCTCGTTATTTCCCTTTCCAAGTTCGTCTTACATTCGCAATTTGTTCATCACTGAAACTTGTATATCTCAAGCCAGTGAATACTGCTTATCGCGCATCTTGATTGGCTGGCTCGGTTCTGAATATTCGGTGATAATTAACTCTAAAAATAATCTGTTGACTTCTCCTCGGTGGTCTTTCATTTCCTGACGGTACTACAGTAATTTTAAGCACTACACCTTCACAAACTTACTTGTTAGCACTTCTCAGATGTTGAAGGGCGGTGTCCTTCTCCGACAGAGTTTCTGATAGCGAGTTAGCTAAGAACTGTAAGTCAGCTACAGTGGATGGCGTTGAACTGGAGCCAATATGGGCTAGATGGCCCACAAAATCAGAGATGAGCGAAGGCATGGCTAAAGAAAAAGACACAAACTATTATGAATACTTTCATTCGCTGGTCTTCAGAGAGGCAGGCAGACTCTGATCTGGGCTGTTCAAGACTTGCAAGACTTCGTGGACAAGACTTTGCGACCGGTAGGAATTTCTCTTTAACTCAGTGCCATACAAGGAGTTTTGCGTTTTGCCTTGGGAAAGTTATTTTATAAAAGCAATAGAAAACTTTTTCCTGTGTTTGCATAGCCTGATATAAACACTCGGGGCGTTGGGAGAATTCTCGACAGTTATGCACACCCTCGACTTCGACTCGGGTTTGCATAACTGTCTCGAATTCTCCCAACCCCTCTCGTGTTTATGTCAGGCTATGCAAACACGGAAAACGTTTTCTATTGCTTAAAGTGCCCATCACCTAAAATTTTATATTTTCTTATCTGAAACTATACCTTATTAAAATAACTTCTGCGAAAAATTTTTGCGGTGTGAACAAAACGCGATTTTTTTACCAATTTTTGAAGTCTACATTTTTGCGGTACACCCGCTCCGCTGATCATGCAAACTAGCAGGCTCACATATGACGTCATGTGACGTAATTTAAGGAACTCGCATGACCCAGCGGTACTCAAAAAAGATAAATTACAAGTAAGGATTGAATCACAATGTCTTCGCAAGAAGAAAGTTTTCCTGAAAAAGAAAAACCTATCAGAACTCTTAATGTTTTTCTGTCGATAAGGTCACGTGTTCCTTAAAGTACGTCATATGACGCCATACTCTGAGAGAAGACTAAGACGAATGGTGTGCAAAAATGGCGGCAAATTTGAACGTTTTTAAAAAATTATAAAAAAATTGTCTTTGGTTCAAATCGCAAAATTTTTTCGCAGAAGTTATTTTAATAAGGTGTAGTTTCAGATAAGAAAATAATAAATTTTAGGTGATGGGCACTTTAAATGTAAAATGACAGTAAATAAAATAACATTCGACCCCAAATGTCATAAACTCTTAAGAGTGATAACATTAGGCCTGAAATGTACAATTCACGTCATCAATGACGTAAGTAACACGTCATTAAAGGGGCTGTAACACGGATGTCTGACAAGATTCATTATGTTAATGTCGCCAATTATCGTATTTACTCGAATAAGCGCCGACACCGACTAAGCGTCCGCCGCCCCCAACCCCCGATTAAGCGCCGCTCTCATGTCTTTCCGGTTGTCGCTTCGCGGCTTCAGCGAGGCCAAGGGCGAAGCTACGAATAAAACAATGAATTTTTTATCCTCACGCAAATAAATCTCATTTTTACAAAGAAAGGTGCTGCACTTAGCCTCGTTATGAAAGTCAGAGTTTTTGAAACTCGGAAATGGCCCATGAACTGAGTTATGTATCGTACATTTACCGTGTTTATTGGTGCTGACGGGAGATCCTGGGTACTGTGCTTGAAGAATCTTGTTCTTCCGCTTCTCAAAAGTGTTCTGAACAAAACAAAGTCAAAATCTAAATCAGATTTCTATCGACAGGTATTACAACATTCCTAAAAAATCAACGGCATAGAAAGTCCTACATGTATGATTAGGATTGTTGTTGGCAAGTTTCGACAACCTGTGTGGTACTCATCATTATTATCATAACTCTTATGATGGAGGGCGCTCGAATTGATACAAAGTCGTTTCCATACGATACGACAATTTCTATCCCTTCAAGTACAGTTTGCGCGTTAAAAAGAAAACATTTTGGGTGAATATTCCTCGTTCTTTTAGCCAAGTTCAGGAAACCATTCACAACTCAACTGAATCAACTTGTATCAAAACGATTTTGTATTGAAATGACCGGTAGGCCTTATGATGACTTAACCGTACAGTAGGAAACGTTAGTCACTGTGAACAACAGCACTCGACCAGATGAAAACATTCCACCTACAGCAGAACCTCGATATAACGAGCCTCTAAATAACGAACCTCTATATATCGAATCTCTATATAACGAACCTCGATATAACGAATTTCTATATAATGAACCTCGATATAATGAAGTACCTTGGTATAACGAACGTTTTCTTCACCCCAGTCATAGTAAAATATATGAAAAAGAACCTCGTTATAGCTAACATATTGATTTGCCAGTCCCTTGGCCCATCGAGGTTCCACTGTACTTATAACTCCTGGGTTCAAACCGTTCACAATAAAAAGAAAATTTCCAGTCGAAAAAGCTGGAATAGTAAGCAACAAGATATACAAATCAGATCTCGTAGTAATATAAAGATATTTCGAAGAACTGTCTTCTATTCTTCTACTTGCCTCACCTTGTATCTAGCTAAAGCAGATACCGCCATGCTCTTTTCTTCCTTAAGTTGCTTAATTTGCTCCTTTAAATACCTTGAACAATAAATTGAGAAAAAATTGAAACGACAGCTTCATTAAAATATTTCATGACCCATGGAATCTTCTAACATACAGACATTTGCAGAATTTTCTCTTATTTGCAACTTTGACTTAAAAGAAACATTGCAAACAGGTAAGGTTAAACTGCGTAAAGAAAACATGAGAATTAGGGAAGGGGCAACTAACAAACTGAATTTTACACTCTGTAGCTTGGGTTGAAGGAAGCTCTATTAAAGTGTGCTTTGAAGTAGACATACAGGTAAATCAGTAAAGAAACGTCTAAGAAGTAAACGATTTGTTTTACGGTCATTTTCCCACCAGAACATCTCGTCAGCAAGCAACTCGCCAACAAAAAATCGAGTCGCCTTCAAGTAACTCGCCACTACATGTAACTGTAATGTCAGCGAAGCTGGCAGGATTGGCAGGCGAGTGCTGTAGTTTTTTGGCGGCAGAGCCGCATGAAGATGGGAGAAGTCAAGAATCCTGGGCATACATTTTTGGTAACCATCTTCTGGTTTTATGATGGACGGACCGGTGTTATCGCCTGAGACCTTGACTCAGTAATCCTAGGTAAATAGACTGTGTCTTGTTGGCAAGTCTACTTCTTGGTGGCACTTTCGTTGGTGGGGAGATGGTTTAGTGGCGAGGTGACCGGATACCGACGATTTGCAACCGTGGTTTACAACTGGACAACACTTAAAACGTGTTTTAGCGTTTAAGCTTTACATAGAAATTCGGATTTGATGGAACTGTCATTTTAAGCTTACTCTACGTGACATGGATAGTTTTACCACGTCACAAGTTACAGTGATGACCACAACTTGCAAAACGTGTTAGCAAACTGTCACACCAACCTGTTTTCCATAAGAACGGAGTCTATATCGACTAGTCTCCTATCATCAGCACCAAGGATGAAGTTAAGCTGTGTGTTGAGTCTGTCTGACTTGTCTTTATAGTGATCTCTCTAAATGGATAAAAACATATAGGACCATGTTGGCTTAGGGGAAGGGTAGGTGGGCAGTTTCCCAAAATCGTATCCTAACAATTTGAGACTTTACATTCCAAATGTTTTGCCAAATAGCATGAAGAGGTTAAGATGCTCATGATATCACAGGCCAGTTAACCCAATTGTAACATGAGGTTGTACCCCCCATGGGGGTACCCAAAAAATGTTTATACGGGGAGACTCCGCCCCGAGGTCCAATCCCTTACCCTTTCATATATCCTTTTTCACAGAAAAGTAGCCTATGCCGCAGACGAAACTAAACCCTGGTTAAGTCCGTCTGTGAAACATTGAAATCCTTGTTCTCGGCCCCCACCTGTGTACTGGCATTTGAGTATGCGCCATGATTGGCCTGTTAAAAATACCATTTTCGACTTGCCAATCAAGATGAAAGGAAATTCGAAAGGTACTTCCGGTAATTCATTGAGTCCGTTACGTTGGTAGTCCTGAACAAGGATCTCGGCGCTGCTTCGCAGACTTTACTAACCGCAGTTAAATTACGTCTGCGACGCAGGCTAACAGAAAAGGTGCCCCTTTCAACATACCTAGTTTTGAACTTTGCATGCCTTTAACTGCTGTAAACACACTGTCTTTAAAATGAATAAATTACAAACCAGGGCCCAATTGTTCGAAGGCCGATTAGCGCTTAACCCGGGGTTAAATTTAACCCAGGTTTCTTTTTCTTGTGTTCAAAAGCATTTTGTCAGATAATTTTCTGTGCTATTTATAGAGCTTCCAATCATCAACTTGTAGACAAAAAGGATTAAAACTGAAATGCTTTCTAAGCTTTCATATCTGAATTCAAATTGGGTTATCTTAACCCAGCATTGAACAACTCGGCCCAGAACATTTTCTTGACTCCTTCGCGGTCATAAAATGCATCTGTTAGACCTTATGGGCCTTTTTACAGAGTGTAATGGGAGATTTCCCTACCCTTTCATATACATGAAGCCTGAACCCAGGCCCGATTCTAGGATGAATACTGACTGATTTCGTACACGAGCGCCAAAGCATAAGCTTTTCAGGGGGTGGAGGGAGAGGGAGGAGGGGATGGGGGGTCTGGAGGCATGTTTCCTAGGAAGTTTTTTGGATTTAACTTGGCCCATTCCATTCTCTTCAGATGAGGCCTTGCAAATCGGCAGATTTATGAGGACTATTTATGTATCTATTATGAAAAATCTGACCAATTTCCATAAAACTGTGGAAACTGGTGTGGATCCACAACTGGTACCCTTTTTGAGCAGAGCTGCTCCGTATAGGCCATTATACAGAGTACCCCAGGGTTGTAACCTTGAATTGTGAGTATTTCTACTTCGCCTTGAATGGGATGGCAAGTCCATCGCAGGGCTGGCTACCCCAAACAGTAGATCACCGGTAACAGGTAATTTATACACTTTGGTAAAGGGCAAAGGGGTAGGAGAGAACCCTGGGAACGAGGTTGGGCAAAGTTTCTTGACTAAGGAAATGAAGAGAAAGCAAGCCTCTGACTTGGACCTTCTCCCTCTTACAGAAATATTTAACTCTCTTAAGTCCTCTTTCCAACAGTATATTTAAAGCATAAGGAGCGTTAATGTTTAAGCATAATTATAAGGAAAGAATGGCTTCTGATTTGAGGAAGAAACAAAAAAATTACTGTATTTATACTACTACATGAGAAATTTCTGCAATTTGATTGGCTTAGAGCAGTGGTATTTCAGCTTAATTTGAAATACCTACATGTGAAAAATTACAAAACCTTTGCAGGTAGTAGTATAAACAAATAATAGCATGATTTGTACGTGATATTAGGTATAAATACCACTTGTGATATTTCCAAATTGTCTCAAATTTCACTCGCCTAACGGCTCGTGAAATTATGTATTACAATCTCGAAATATCACTCGTGGTATTTATGCCAAATATCACCACAAATCGTGCTATTACCTTTACAAAAAGACAATAACACTGTTCCATGCCGATTTAGCATTATTATCATATACATTGTATTAACCTGTTAAGCCCTATTGTGATCAGCATCAAATTTCTCCTTGTAATATCAATGCTTTGTAAAACAGAGTGATCATGAGAATTATGGACATGATCACACAAGATTTACTTGATATTTTATCAACTTCTCCCCACTACTTCTGTAGGAAATGAATAGGGGTAACAAATGAGAATTCAAGTTTTGATCTTGGGGTTTAAGGGGTCAAATAAAAAATTCAGTTCATACCTCCATAGCAATCTCAGCTTTCTCATCACTTATGGCAAGTTTCTCTCTCCCCAGCTCCACCAACTATACACAACAAAATAATTATAATATATCAGATGGCTCATACTACATTTTTATACTTTGTTGATGAACGTTCTTTCTTCTTCTTAAATGTTTGATCAAAGTCTAAGTTGTACAAATTAATATAATTAAATAAAGAGTCCAAAATTCTTTCTACTGATGCCAAACAATCATGTTCTTAACATAGTTTACATACTCGATAAAAACAAAAGCAACAGTGACGTTTTGGGAAAGAATACCCAGAGGAACTTTAGTTCCTTATAATTTTGTTCAAAACCACTGCTCATGACTGTAGATGATGGTGATACACCCTGTACATAAAAACCCTTACTATTGGGAGCCCAGTTCATTTTCTTTTAGAAAAGATGGCTCGAGATCTGAGAAGCAGGTGGCAGTTTCTCTTTGGCATACGCTCGAACCTCCCGTAAGCAATTACCCAAAATGCAAAGACTTACTTGCCGCTTACTGGAGGTGGTCGCTTACAAGAATCGAACCACAGGGGGCCTCTACTGAGAAGAGGTCCGGGCTCATCTACTTTATGGAAGATAATTTATTGCATGCAATTTCCAAGTTATGCCATGTGTAGTTCCATGTTGTCACTAAAGTTCTTCATATATTCTAAGTACCATAGTGCACACAGTGTATATACATTGTCGAGATCAGAATGCATTAAGTGGTCACTTACAGAAGATTAAAAACAATGGTAAATCATGAAACTTTCAGGTCCAAAAAGTGGATGAGGTTGCTTACTAGAGGTTCCAGCTGTAAGGTTTTGTCTGGAGGAGGTATGGTGTTTTTTAGATAGGCGGTCACTTATGGGAGGTGGTTGCTCACGAGAGGAGGTCGCACACGGAAGTTCAACTGTATTTGGAAATCGATCACATATGATATTATAGGCTATATTTTTCCAAAATTTTCTTGCATCACGTTGTGCCCAGACCCATACAGAGGGTGTGGGGCCATCTCCAGCGTCACTTGCAAACTCACCCTTCATGTGGGAGTCTGCAAGTAACCCTGGGCAAGGCAATTTTTTAAACCATGCATGCTATCATAGCCTCGGTTTGCTATCAATGAAATGCCAAAAAAAACACGGCTTCTACACCTGGATTAGCTCATGGGTTTGACTCCAGCATCCAGACAAATACTCAGGGTCTTAAACTAACTAGGAAAAAAAAGGAATACCTTTGCTCTGCATGCAAACGGCTGGACAAAAATGGTGTTCCCATCTCCAGCAGGAGACATAAAAATAGTGTCCTCAATTAGTACTTTTTTGCCACTCAAATAAAGTGCATTTTTTAAATATAATAAGTTAGCACAAAATTTACTGGGTGTATGCCTCATTTCTATACCTTCTCTTGGTTTTCTTCAAGTTGGGAAATGAGATCCTGACGTGGATCCATGCCATTGGCACCAGCTTTGAGTCCACAGTTACAGTTCTTTTGTTTAGCTAATGCATCATGCAGTAGCTGTATATCCTCCTGAGCATCACGGTAAAGCTGACGCAGCTCAGCTAGGTCTTTTATCAGCGCCTTGTTTTCACCACGTGACTCACACAATAACTGTGATAATGTCTACAATGAGAACATAAACAAAAACATGTAATTAAAGGATCAGATTACATTTGGAGCCCTAAAAACGATGGGTGCATTCTTCTGGGACTTCAGTGTACTTTGTGTCAGATAACTGTATTATTATTATTAAAATAAATGGTAATCCTCTTAATTGAGATAGCTAGAACACAAACTCATATATTCCAGGTTTTTGGAATATCCTACTCTTAAATCTCGCAACCATGTACTTAATTTCAACAAAATAAAATTTAGAGAAATGTATACCTTCATAATTTTCAATACCACAAGTATGGACTTAGAATGCTAATGGAGTATAAAACGTAAGTCACCTTTTGTTTTCTTTCTCTGACATTCTGAAGCTCTTGTTCCCACACACTCTGACCACAGAATGAGGCACCTCTCTAAAGAGCACAATTAATACCCGGTCATAACCAGAGAACAATGATAAATTTTCAACCAAACCTTTGCCAACAGGTGCCATGATAGGATTTTGAGAGAAATGTTTATTAATCTTTGACAAGATAGCCAAATTTAATATAATTTAATCCATTTTCAATGAATACATTACACACAACCAAGCAGATAGCGGCAGGAAAGCACTATTCGGGAACATTAAAAACATACAAGCTAGCTCAAGCAATTTAAAAAAAGACTTATCATGTATAAAAAGAAGGGAAGAAAAAGAAGGGAAAAGAAATAGACTGTTATATGTGTTACTGATACTGTTAAGTAACACATATAAACTAACTTTTAATTTAACTGTTAGTCACTGGTTATCAATTAATACCAAGAATTCTGAACTACCTTTTTAGTAGGTGTCTGTGCATTATTTTTGTCTGCTTGCTTGTTTTCTTGTTCTCTCTCCTTTCGTTTATAATCCTCAACCTCTTTTAGCTACAGAAGACCAGAGAGAATAAGTGGGTGCAGCCTGGACTTTTGACATTTGGTGTCACCTTATTCTACTGGCAAATTACTGGGGTTTTACCGATGGCCCCAGGCCAGGTCTGCTCAAAAACCAAAATTTTCTAAAATCTGGCAGTTTGATCAGAAATGACAAATAAAGAGCCTCTAAGTGGATGTGCCACCACTGACAAAATGAATATTATAAGTAGTTATTTTATTTTATTGCACTAAGGGGGCTTTCCATTTGTCAGAACTGACCAGCCAGACCATTCCCGTCGTGATGAGAATTTCACCGTTAATCAAAACCATCCAGTGAGATCAGTCAAATCCTAAACAGTATGCACGAAGGAGATGGTTTTCAGCAAAAAACCTTTTGAAAAAGCTGATTTCATTTGCTAACTGACTGGTCCGGCAATAGTCCGGCCGGCCAGTTCTGACAAATGGATAGCACCCTAAGGCTGTTGTACAGGGACATGTTATCATAACACAACTTGCCATTGTTTTTTAACTTGTTATCTCACTTACCAGTTGTTTTATCTTCGATTTATAAATGTCTCTTTCCCTTTGGCATAATTCCAAGTCACTTGTTAAAATCTTGAGAGCTTCTCTTTTGCTATTTAGCTTCTTCTTGCAAACGTTATACTACAAATTACAAAATAATCACACAATTGACAATAAAGTACATGTAAAAGTAGTTTCTTGTCAAGATATTCCCCCTGAATAAGGAAGCATGCATCAAGAGGCTTAGAATCAATTCTTAATTAATTTAATTTAATCCATTTTACTGCATATAATATAATAAATAATAATGACACAAGTGAGCAGCAGGGAAGAACTAGAAGGGTACCAAAGAACCATACAGGCTAGTCCACCCTTGACTAGGAAACAATCTTTTCCCAGGCCTTAAACAAATTGACCCAACAGCTTACAATGTCTTAAGCTATGTACATGGTCAAGATAATGAACCACAATATAAACAAACTTGATTTGACTATCAAGATTCTTTTCTTTTTTTCCCCTTTTGGACAAAACATTTTCTATAAAAAGGAACAGTTTTTGGTAGTATATTAACAACTATAATGTGATTTGCTCTACATGTATAATCCTCACAAGTTGTTCACTTCTGCTCCCAAGGAGAAGGCCCTCTTAGCAGGGTATGTATGTCCCTCGTCTGAATTTCAAAAGTGGTCGTTTCGCATACCTATGGAAGACCAGGCCATGTCTCTGTTGGTATTTTACTATTGTATTTGTGATTTTCCCTGTAGCTGTAACAGTTTCAAGCCAAATTCATGTATGTCTCGCCATTTCATTCGCCTTACAGACTGTATGTTGCTGTTCCAAGGCCATGTCACTTGTTGGAATTCAATTTTAACAGGGCCTTGAGCAGGGAGTCACTGTTTTACCAGTAGGGAGCTTAAGCAACGACGACTGCGACTTCCACAAGAATGGAAAAAAAGCAAGGTTTAGATTGGCAAAACAACAGCTCTGCATGTGCATCACGCTTTTTTGTAGAATTCTTTGAAGTCACTGCACGACTACGACGTGAAAATACCTAATTTCACATTTTGTGGAGGGCGCGAACACAAGACAATGACTTTCATTTTCTTTTCCTGAACTTTGATACAGAGCTCTAGAATTCAGCTCCAGAGAAAATTACCAACATTTCACAAATTGAATGAGATGGAATAAGCAGGATTAAGCTTGAAGTAGTGTGACTTCACATTTTAAGTGACGTTTTCGTAGCCGTCGCCGTTGTTGCTTAAGCTCCCTAGTACTATAGGTAACTGTTACTTGGGTAGGCTGGGGTGGACATTGTTCATGTCTTAGGAATTTTTGAAAAAATTGCTGCCTAAAAAGTAGAAAGACATAGCTCAGATTTACTTCACCAACATCTGACAGGGCCTCATTCAAGTTGTGGGTAGAAAGACAAAATTCTCTTAAATTCAAATTTTCTCCTTACCCTGGGAAGGGAAGTAGTGTAAAGATAATTTTTAAGTCTTTTACCCTATCTGATTTGTCCAGGAGAATTAGGGGCTGTTTACATATTCACTTTTTCCCCGCTTAATGTCAGCTGGACATTTAGGGGGGAGGGGGGTAAGGAAGTGGACATCAGTACAGGACATTTTTGGACAAAAGCAAACTGATGCATTTTCATAAATTTTACGTCACGTGGGGAGCGGCACCGGTGTGACATTTTTTTTAAGAAAAAGCACGACCAATTAAAGAAGTGAATGAAAACTGTGATCTTTTATAAAACTCTGCTCTTAACGACCAGCAAATTGAATATTATACTGGTATATGGTGATTTTTTAAACCCTATCCTAAATCACTAATAAATTGTTAAAAAACCAAAAATTATAGTTAGTTTACTGATAATAATTATTGTAAATACTTTTGTCAGAATACAACTGGAATCTTTTTTCAAAACATACTTCCAACGTCAGCATTTTTTTTTTAAGAATCCGTTCACAGCCTCATTGGACAAAATCCAAGGCAATCATAATTCAATCTTACCACAAATGACAATACTTTGACTTAAACTGAATAAGGTATAAAGTCGATAGCTTTTATAATGAGCAACAGTCTATCTTAACAGTGTTAGCACAAGTGGCAAACCCAGTTTATTTCCTCGAATTCTTCCTCACTAGGCTAATATTATTATCAGTATATACAGATATTCTCATAATTAGTTGTACCGTAAAACTCCCTGATAAAGTGAGCATTAGTCACACGAAACGTGTAGGAGATAATAAAACAGTTTTTACTTCACAAATGTGCTGTCATTGGTTTATCCCTTTGAAATATTTTAGAAATATAATGAAGTTTCTACCATGTTTTAAAACCAGTAAATTGTGTTGATACAGCTGATATCTTTACGTAAGTGCATGTCAGTATTCCTTCTGGAGTGCTGTGACTTTCTGGGCAGCAAAATTTCAAGTGGACTTTAAGGAGGGGGGTGGGGTACGTCTGACCTAAGCGGGGAAAGGTGAATATGTCGACGGCCGCTCTGTTGCTATAGATTTGGACATTTTGCATGTGAAAAACGTGACAGGGCTATTTGCATACTAACAGCTGTTGGTACAAACAATCATTTTCATTTGCGATTTGAATAAATTAGTAATGCAACAGGTAAACTGAGAAAAGTAGTAGAACAGCTTGCGATTTACATGAACACTCTGATCGATGCTTTGCTTTCCGCCTATATTCATTTGATACATAAATCTTTATAAAGATCACTTTCATTTCATAAGCAGTCTTGCACTTTTTGCCGACTAGTTAAGCTTTTTGAAAGCAAACCTACAAAATAATTCACGCCCCAAATTGCCAAATTGGCCCAAAACCATTTCAACATCACTGAATTACCTCGAGTAATGCTAAGAGAATACTTGTTGATAAGATAAACATTAGCTTTTTTAGCATTATCCCAGTGAAGGTATTCTCATTGTTTTTCCCGACCACTGGTATCAGAAAACTGAATTCTCACCGTATCGCTTTTAGTCGCAGCTTTACAAAAAGGTAAGAATTAAAAATGAAATAAGAAACTGTTCACTGTTGTTTAAGGACAATTGTGCCGAAGGAAAGTGAAATCAAATCAGCTGATTCTTGAGTTAAGAAAAAAACCTTACTTCGTTTACGAGAATGGTCCATTCTCTCTCACTTCTTGCCAAAGTCATTCCATCCAAACCAGCATAAGCTTAGCACAACATTAAAGAATGGAAGTGACATCAAAGATCAGTAAAACTCAGTTTGTTCCTGATCATGGTCAACAACTCTCATTGCTAGATATATCTACTGTCCGCCCCTTTTTTTTTTGTTTGTTTGTTTGTTTGTTTGTTTGTTTTTTATTTTTGTTTTGTCACTCAACCACTTCACCATCAAATCCCACAGAGTGCATCACCAGATCTACCAGAAACCACACCATAAATACATGTACCCTCATTTTTCATCTAACCATCCCCATCACATTTTTGCTGGTATCATTAAAACTGAAACTATACGATACAGTAGACTTTCAGCCACAATAGACGACTACAACTTCATTCACCACCTTTTCACACTTAGACTTACTGCCTTAGACTATCCTTTACAACTGATCACCGAACATACATTTCCATGGATTACACGCACTGCTCACCAGCGACGCCTTAAAACCAAACAGACTACTAACGTTACCAAACCCACTGTTTACTACAAGACTCTATACAACAAAGACAAACGAACAGACAAACTGGTCAACAACATTCTACTCAAATACCACAACCCACACATACCGAAACTCTCAAAAGCATACTGCAACTCTACTAAACTCCACACACTCCTTCTTACTAATAAAATGTTACACCATAAATTAATCCTATTTAATAATTCTACCACTTAAAAATATATATCTACCAGCAGCCAATTTTCCTTTTGCCAAATCTTTGCTGGTTATTTATATCATTTCAATAGGTTCTTCATCTACCACCATGTACATAGGTTCTCCACCTTTATGCGGTTACCGTTTTAGCACTGCAAATTTAACTTATTATACCCTAGACATTATACAACATCAATGGACATATTGAACACTTTCGCACTACTTTAGTATAGAATTATGCTAGCTTCAAGCTTTAATAATTTTTAAATTTGACACTTGTATGTAATCAAGTTTCAATTCATTCTATTTGACACTTGTGTGTAATCAAATTTTAATTCATCCTACTAGATATTTTACTTACACCAAAAAGCTACACCACCATTTTTATATAAATACCCTAATATTTTAATCGTTTTTCACTATTCCCTACCACAAGCTTTTTTAGCATTATAATTCTCATTCTTTTACTAGGTCTTTATCAATAAATTTATCCAGATGGTTTAATCTTAAAGCAGACACTGTCTATTTCACTGCGGCACCGTATCACGTCTCCCCCTTTTTACACTGCCTTGTTTTGATACTCCTCTCCATGTATGCAGTCTAGCGAAATTTTTACCATCTTTATCCTTGTAAAACACGACTCGCACACAGGCAACTCTTTCAGACTAAACTCATCGTCATCACAAAAAGAACGATATATCATATTATGAATACTTAACTTCGATTCCTTACCTCCAACGACCAGATTGCTAGCTCAACCAGCACTCAGCTCCTGAACTCAACTCCAGTTTTCTTGACAAGAAGAACGATCGATCAGACTGACATTGTTGTTCCGACTCACCGATTTCGATATAACTCCGAGCAAAAGCTGCTTACTACAAATCCACCCCAGCACACTACGATAACTACCACTCCATAAATACCTCGACACCTGGCCTTGAGAAGACAGATTTCTACGCTTTATAAACACAATTTCAACCCTCATGGCCGCTTATATCCTTCGAAATTTTGACTGCCATCCCATCAATCATTGCGACACCTTTCTCGTACGTCATTGGCTCGCGTCATTCTGGCGTCAACTTTAATTTGTGTTGACAAAAAATTTTTTTTTGTTGCGACAGAATTTTGTTCCGCATTTTTCACTCTTTTCTTGCGTTTACCCTAGAGGAGCCATTTCTTTCCAGACGTAAGTATTTCTCTACCGAAATTCTCCTCATCCCTTATAATAGTTTTTAATTTTGGACCTCCTTATTTCCAGGACTGACCTTTTTTCACTACCGGCATTTTTGAAGAAACCCCTTTGTTTTCGTGGTAAGATATTGTCACTTTAGCTTAATTAATTTGTTACTTTAAACTACCCGGCGCTTACCGCTTTACCGTTATAATTCATTTCTTTTTTATTTATCGTTTTCCAACTCTATTTACATACAAAGAGAGTATATTGTTCTGCTCAAAGTTTTTTTTTTTTTTCTTCTTCTTCTTCTTCTTCTTCTTTTCTTTTCTCTCTCTCTCTTCTCGACTACCTCCCGGCCATTTCTCTCCTCTCTTCCTTTTTTCTCCTCAAGGACTCGACACAGAGGATGTCGGGCAAAGGCTCGGCGCCGGGCTAGAAACATCCTCGCTCAGTTGTGCTTTGCCCCTGATGATTCACAACATTACAGGAGCCTTGGTGTCGATGCATCCTTTTTCTT